AAATGCATTACAAAGCGCCATAAATATTTTGTGCACTATATTCCTAGTCTTCCGAACCCATTCAATAGCTTAATGTGAACTAAGGACAGATGAATATTAAAGTTCATGGAAAATCTTCCTTCGCTGTGGCTGTCAGTCACTCTCCGTATTCAAACAGCGTGTTGCGTTCAGTTACGACAGTCAGCACGGTAAAAATCTCTCCGAGATGATTCAATATTCCCATTATTATACTTGATCTTTAAGTAAAGGTCTGTGGATTTGCATAAAATTACTTTATCTGGCTAGAGTTTATTGCTGTTTTTAAATGATGTGGTACTTGCTACCAGTCTGTTTGATCACAACGCTGGAGTAGAGAGGATTATGAATTGGCATTGTGCGCACTGTGACTGGAATTTAATACTATGAAGAAACAAATGCTCAATAAACTGCTGCATGGATATAATATATAATATACTAGGATATCTCTTCTCTTTGTGCGCTGAACTTTTGAATATGGAGAACAAAGCGTTGTGAATCCATGTTGCTTTAAACACATTATTCTGCACCCAAGAGGCGCATAATCATAAGTGGTTTGTGCAGCTCTGTATTGGAGTCTTTAATATTATTAGCCTATGGTTTTGTGCACTGAAAGATTATTGAAAGCCTATATCTTGTTCTGTTGCATCTATAATATCTTGTTTCTGCATTAGCTGCACAATACAATTGAAATAACCTTATTTTAATTTTATATTAGGCTATTTATTTTCTTAAATATAATATTTAATATTTGTATATTTATATATACATCTTTTGAATTGTTTAGATGTATATAAATATAAATCTAATAAATTGTTTTTCACGAATGTATTTTATAAGGATACAAGTAGTAATTTGTCATTTATTTTTTAGTTACATTTTACCATATTTAGCTAGTTTTATTTTCCCCCTCTAAATTATGTTTCACTAAATGCTTAGATTTCATAAAATGTTTTTCTAGAAGTACTATTGCTGCTGAATTATTCACTCACCTACTTGATAATATATATATTTGTGTTGTAGATAGATTTTTTATTTGTTTGTTGTTTTTCTCTATAATAAAGTAGTGTGTATTTAGAGGAATGTGTTTAACACATAAACGATTGATCATCAGTTCCACACACACAGAGGTAGATATATTCTACAATGATCAAGGAAATACAGCACTGGTATCGAATCGGTATCGGAAGATCAGAATCAGAACGGTTATGAAAAAATAGTATCGGTGTATAAGCTCCAATAGAAATGCATAAATGTGTTTCAACTTTCAAGTAGATGCACAATATAACGGTTATCATATCCCGACGGTTATCTGTCAATATTACATATTTTTCTCATTTGTCAGCAGGGACGGACTTTATCGACGAGCGAGGTAAGCGGCCGCTTAGGGCCCCAGGGAATCAGGGGGCCTTGACAAATAACCAGAAGTCTATATAAATAATATATATCGTATTAATTTTCTGTCACATTTTGTATATTCAGGATATCACCATCCAAGTTTTAACATTATTATTATATCTGCAAGAATGATCACAGGCCATTAATTCCTAGAGAAATCAATAGATTTCCTGCATTCTCCAAAGCAGAATGATCTCTAGGGGCTCCTAGATGCAGATCAGACTTGGTGAAGGGCATCAAACCTGCTGTGGAAGGGACACCGCAGTTCTCATTTGATGAAAAAAAAAAACATCTTTTCATGAGAAGAAAGCTGGTGGTCTTAAGTAAAAGTTGTTATAGTATTTACATTATATATACTGTTACTATACATTATATATATATATATATATATATATATATATATATATATTATATGTTTATCATTATATAAAGTTGGATATATAACCTAAACCTCTGGGTAGGAGAGGATCCCTCTTGTCCTTTGTGTTCATCACCTGCCACATTAAGGCACATTTTGACAGGATGTAAGGTGGCTCTTAGCCAAGGTCGGTTTACTTGGCGCCATGACCAAGTACTGCGATGTTCGGCTTTAGCATTAGAAGGCAAGCGTAACATGACCAATAAGTTGCCACCTGTTCTAGCAAAACATTACACGCAGAAGACAATATTCCTCCGCCCAGGCGAGCAACCACCAAGAAAAGGTGCTAACACCAATTCTCGCCCAGGACAACTGGAAGCTGCTAGGGACTGGAAAATGCTGGCTGATCTTGACCAACGGCTTATTTTTCCACCTGAGATTGCCACCACTAACCTACGACCAGATATTGTTTTGTGGTCTGGATCAGCATGCATTGTTCAACTGATAGAGTTAACAGTGCCATGGGAGGATGCGGTAGATGAGGCATATGAGAGGAAGAAACTGCGGTATGCTCATCTGGCCACTGAAGCAGAACAGCGAGGATGGAGAGTCCAGGTTTATCCAGTGGAAGTGGGTTGTCGAGGTTTTGTGGCACACTCTACAACCCGGTTCCTCAGAGACATCGGATTCAGCGGCCAAGAGTTGCGTCGCACAGTAAAGAACTTATCTGAAGCAGCAGAAAGGAGCAGCAACTGGCTGTGGTTGAGATGGAAAGATTCTAGCTGGCTGTGTACAGGCCGCCATGCTACGGTTTCGTAGAATTCTAGATTCTTGAGTCTGTTGGTTTGTTTGTATACGTTCCTGTGGATATTGCGTGAATGACGGGTGGTTGGACAGATATTGTGTTTTGCGGTAGGTGGTATGCCATACGGAACCGTTGTCCACTGAAATTGCATATTAACGCACCAGTGGGGCTCGACAGCCTTAGTCAAACGGGTTGGCGTGTATGGTTGGGTTGCGGAGAGATTGTGAGATTGTGGTTAGGTCTCAGCAGCAGGAGAGAGGTCAGTAAGCTGGGCTGAGTTGAGTGGGGGACGGAGGGGGGTGACTCTGGGACGCCAGAGTCACTGTCGAGCCCTCTTGAGGTGTCGTGGGCTAGTCGACGAAACACTGAGGACGGAAGGTGCCCACTTGAAGACCCTAGAGATGTCCCCTACTCGGTTCAATCCAGACGGTTGTCGTGCTGGTCCTGTAGTTGCAGTCGTCGCGTGTGCTGACGCGCCAAGTACACTGCTGCCGTTAACGCCGGACAGAAGGGGAGTCACACCACCTTATGGAAAGAAGCGTAAATGGATGGAGAAGCATAGGTTACTGTAAAGCTACGTCTTAGTTTTGCTTATCTTGGCGAAAGCCGAGTACAAATCAGCATGAAGTTTTAACATCTACTCTCGTGTAATGGAAATCAATTTTTTTTATGTCAAACTTTATCTGCATACATATAGTATACTCATGTATGGTAAATTGTAATTTATAGCAAATCTCTTTATTGCTTATGTTTACAAAATAAAAATGTATGTCCAGCTCTAATCTGCTAAATGTGACTACAAGATATGAAGATATTAAGATTTTATAAACATTAACATCACGATTTGAAGCTGCTTTGATACAAAACGCGATATACAAAATAATTTGACTTGACTTTGTATATAAAACATTTATACAGATATTTATCTATTGCAGATATTTCTATCATATTCTGTACAAATCGATATTTGAGATGTAATAATGTATACATATAATTTAAGTAACTATACACTCACCTAAAGGATTATTAGGAACACCTGTTCAATTTCTCATTAATGCAATTATCTAATCAACCAATCACATGGCAGTTGCTTCAATGGATTTAGGGGTGTGGTCCTGGTCAAGACAATCTCCTGAACTCCAAACTGAATGTCAGAATGGGAAATAAAGGTGATTTAAGCAATTTTGAGCGTGGCATGGTTGTTGGTGCCAGACGGGCCGGTCTGAGTATTTCACAATCTGCTCAGTTACTGGGATTTTCACGCACAACCATTTCTAGGGTTTACAAAGAATGGTGTGAAAAGGGAAAAACATCCAGTATGCGGCAGTCCTGTGGGCGAAAATGCCTTGTTGATGCTAGAGGCCAGAGGAGAATGGGCCGACTGATTCAAGCTGATAGAAGAGCAACTTTGACTGAAATAACCACTCGTTACAACCGGGGTATGCAGCAAAGCATTTGTGAAGCCACAACACGCACAACCTTGAGGCGGATGGGCTACAACAGCAGAAGACCCCACCGGGTACCACTCATCTCCACTACAAATAGGAAAAAGAGGCTACAATTCGCAAGCGCTCACCAAAATTGGACAGTTGAAGACTGGAAAAATGTTGCCTGGTCTGATGAGTCTCGATTTCTGTTGAGACATTCAGATGGTAGAGTCAGTATTTGGCATAAACAGAATGAGAACATGGATCCATCATGCCTTGTTACCACTGTGCAGGCTGGTGGTGGTGGTGTAATGGTGTGGGGGATGTTTTCTTGGCACACTTTAGGCCCCTTAGTGCCAATTGGGTGTCGTTTGAATGCCACGGCCTACCTGAGCATTGTTTCTGACCATGTCCATCCCTTTATGGCCACCATGTACCCATCCTCTGATGGCTTCTTCCAGCAGGATAATGCACCATGTCACAAAGCTTGAATCTTTGCAAATTGGTTTCTTGAACATGACAATGAGTTCACTGTACTAAAATGGCCCCCACAGTCACCAGATCTCAACCCAATAGAGCATCTTTGGGATGTGGTGGAACGGAAGCTTCGTGCCCTGGATGTGCATCCCACAAATCTCCATCAACTGCAAGATGCTATCCTATCAATATGGGCCAACATTTCTAAACAATGCTTTCAGCACCTTGTTGAATCAATGCCACGTAGAATTAAGGCAGTTCTGAAGGCGAAAGGGGGTCAAACACAGTATTAGTATGGTGTTCCTAATAATCCTTTAGGTGAGTGTATATACAGTATATTAGCTCATACCAATGAATAAAAATCTCCAAAATTGACCAACAACCAATTTGGTAGTGATTTATCATGCATCTTTAATATGCATCACAAATATTCATTACATTATATATTATCTTTGCATGGGAACAACTAAAGATGTGAGCTCCATTGAGATAAATTGAAATGCTAACAGATAGCCATCTCTCTCTCTAGGTATCATGGACCTCCTTGGTTGGTCACATGACCGGCATACACCTTGTGGGGCTTTAAGTGTGAATCCAGAGCAAAGACAAATGAAGCGAAAACAACCTTACTACACCATCCTCCACCTTCCCTTCTCCGTGTCTTTATCCTTCTTTCTCACCCTGATCCCTTTCGGAAACTCTGTCCAGCACACGCTCATCAAAATTCATTTTTCCAAGCTGCCTGACACCACTTCAATCACTAAAAGGAGTCCTTGACACTCTTATCTTTCATGTCACTGAGGTAGTTTTTAATTTTCTACACACTGTACATGCACTAAGTCTCCAGGCTTTGGGACGTCAGTGGATTTTCGACGGATACGTGGAAAGGAAAGACTTGGGGCTATGAGATGAATTCAAAACAAAAGCTGACTGACAGTTCACCTCGTGAGTGTCACATCCCAGAAGGGTTATGTTGGATTTATTCATCCAATATCGCAGTAACCCCCCACATCTCAAGGACGTTCGGCCCTTAAGTGAAATCAATCAAGGCAAAAAAAAAAAAAAAAAACATAAAAGGACTAAATCTAAACGCTCCTTTAAGATCTCCGCTCAGGCCAGCCGGAGGTCTCTGTTAGCCCTCCTATTCAGACAGGAGAGAACCATGAGCTATCCTCCCAGTGGGCTCTAGGCTTCTTTATGGCCCTTAAAAGCCCCATTAAAATCAAGCTGCCAGATGGTGCCCTTATCAGAGCCGTCAGAACGTTGCAATGGGGGCAGAGTAGTAAATATTTGTCAGGAGAGGAGGGCAGCTGCTTTTGAAGACAGATTTGTGGAGGAGTCATCGTTGTACACAAGTCCGCAACGCCGCACGCCTTCTCGGACAGATTTTGGCCCTCGGCGTGTGTTTGTGTGAACGAGAGAAAGCGAGAAATGGAAAGGTATAGGAGGTGAAGAGAAATAATAATTCTACAGTTGGTGATAATCATTAAGCATCTGTAGCTGTGGGTCTAATAACAATAACACAAGCTGTCTCGGCCGAAGCGATGCCAAATGCCGCTGTCAACCAAAACAGCTGAGCAGGGAATAGCCAAAATATTCCACACAGTCAAATTTCAGCGCTGTCAATCAGCACCAGATGTCCTCAAAGCTAATGATGAACACTGTAGCTTTCATTATGTTTGTCTTTCTCATGGCAACAAGGCCTCTCGTAGCCTGGAATGTTCTACTGTCTGTCTCTGATGTATTGCTACTCCATTGTCATGACCGTAGCCCACGAGAGACTGTTTCACATTGTCAACATGCTGAGCCCTATTCTTCACCGCCTACAAATGATGCGACCCTCTTTCATTAAGTCACTCATTCAAAAATAAAGACATTGAGATGATACTATTACGTTATATTATGTAAATAACCACATTTTGAATGCGTCAGCTGCGGTCTAACTTCAGTTTCTAATGAAAGCCTTCACACCAAACACCTGTTAAATGAGTTTAGTTTCATAGTTTAATTTGAAATTTAACATAAAATCTATTACTGCATCTATTAAAATGGGTTGCAAACAACAAGTCAAACCACAGTAATTCACTTTGTAAATTGAAATGCCATTATTTTTGAACCGAAACGAGTTGCAAACAGCAATTCAAACAGCATGTGATTTACTTTGTAAGTTTATAAGACAATAAAAGTAATGATATTATTGTATTTAAATTTAAATATTATTAGGCCTACTAATTATCGTATAATTATTATTATATTTAATATTATATTATTAATTAAAATATTGCATAATAGTAATAATAAATAAAAGCATATTAAAAATGACAATATAATTATTGCACCGGAAATATTTTTCAATATTAATAGTAGTAGTAGTATAATCATTATTATATTTTAATATTATATTATTAATGAATATATTATATAATAATAAATCATATTAAATGTTGCATTATTATTATTATATGCTTGCATTAACAGGTAGTGCAGAGTGCTAGCAATGTTAAATTCATGGCATGGGTTCAATTCCCAGGGAACACACATAATGATAAAATACAGACCTTGAAAACTGAATGTAGCTTTTGAAGGGTAGTGTATGAATAAATATAAACAATGTCCTCTTGAAAGAAGCAAACATTCATGAACACTGCCCTCTGGAGGACAATTACTGAAAAAAAAACTGATTGTGTATGCGTTATACATTCATCTCTGCTGCCCTCTAGAGCCAAACGAGTGTGAGAGCTCACTGAAACGTACAAAGATATCATATTATGCAAGTGTATGCAAATTATTCTCATAAATCCTTACAAAAAAAGGTCTAAATTGGCCCCAAGGCACAAAGCAGGATATTTTAATGAATAAACAGATTTTTAGTGTATAGAAACTGCAAAAAGTTTTGGGAGAAACAAGTGAGATTCATGTATCCGTGAATGAATGACTGGTGGATTGATTCATTAATTAACATGTTACATTAAAAGTGCAAAGAAAAATATTGCAGAAGGTCAGAGCCGAGATGAATTTATGCTCCTTGACATTTAACATTTTGGTAAGAAAGCAAACTCATCTCCATATACCGTCATGAGTCATGTGTGTTGTTGCTCTCAGTCTCTGTTCAGTGTATTGGTTTATTGTGGGTTTATGCCTCTAATTGTCTCCTGTAGGACTACAGGCATAATCGAGACAGCTGCAGATGTGGCTGGAGACACAGCGCCGTCCCAGAAGACACTGCATTGAGCAGTCATACTGCTCTCAGATCAGCCCAAACAGCAGGTCAGCACTATACTCCCCCGATACATGCACATACATGACTCAGTCTGAGCGCTCTCAGTGGTCTTTTCAGTCTAAACAGCCCATTTCAAGTCTCACACAGCAGAAGGTTTCAGGGGCAGATTGCTGACCCAGGACCAAATTAGTTTATAGATAAAGGACAACAGTCTTTCAGAGTCGCTTAATGTCACCGCCGTCAGCCATTCACAGCACCCCTGTAGAACAGGCTGTTGGGTCCAATATTAGATCGTTATGGGGGGGATAATTAAATCACAGTACTGGGGGTGGGATCAATTGTGACAGCTGAAACAGCTCTTCAGGCGTTGTCTCATTTAGGTGTCAGATGTTTTACCTCCAGTCCTGCATCAAGACAGCAATCAAACTTAATTCCCTGTTAAACTGGGCATTTGTGGTTTATGTAAACACGTGTTTTACGCATTTTTTGTAAGAAAGAAAGGAAGACCCAAATTGAAATTGGAAATATACCATCCCACATAAGAAAAAACACAATCGAGAACCCTTGCTTTGTTAAATTGTTTCTAGGTAGAAGATTAAATAGAGATCAGTTGGAGACTATTACTTGAAGTTAGATATTTCACAAGAGTCTGCTCTAGAGTTTCAGAAGAGATATCAAGAACGTCACATGCTGTGCTTGGATCACTTGCAAGATAATCAGCAAAAGATCTCACTATGACCTCAAAACATTTCTCATTAAATTCTTAAACTAGCCTATCTATCCTATGCAATCCACATTCATTTTATAGCTCTTACTGTGTCAATAGCCTATAGCCTCAAATGGTATTTCTGAGAAGCACCTGAAATAAAACTGACACGTTAGGTCTCCCAAAGGCATCAAAATGCAACCTATTAAAAAATGTTAAATCTCTTAAATCAGAAATGGATGGACGCATTCACATCTTTTATAATTTACTATATAATAACGTTTTTATAATATAAATATAAAGCATTTATATTCATTAAAATAATATAGAATTATTATAAAATTGTTATACAGATTACACTACCATGCACTTTGGGATCAGTAAAATGTTTTTAATGTTATTGGAAAATGTCTCTAATGCTCAACAAGGCACCATTTTGGAAAAAAAATACAGTGAAAAATGTATATTGTGAAGTATTATTACAATTTAAAATAACTGTTTTCTATTTTAATACATTTTAAAATGTAATTTATTCCTGTGACGCAAAGCTGAGATTTCAGCATCATTACTCCAGTCTTCAGTGTCACATGATCCTTCAGAAATCATTTGCTGCTCAAGAAACATTTCACTGAGAATGACACAAGTGCGAAACAAAATATGCAAACGCAACATAAAATACTCCAATCTTAAGCAGAAACCAGAAAAACTCACCAGATTTTGCGAGGCATCTTACACGTTGAGAGGTGAACCCAAAATACACGGCTCTCTCCTCTCAGGCTCTCTATTTCAGTCTCTCCCTCTCTGTCCTTCCATTTCTAAAGCATATTCACGTAACACTAAGCTTTATTGAATAAACAAAAGCACCTGCATAAACAGGCAGACACACAGGCCCTGATTATGCTGTTCCTCTAATGTGGCCCTGTCCTTCAGGTGGAGAGAGCCGACCATTCACTTTGTAGTTGCAGATGCGATGGGGGGAAATCATTGGTTAGATTCTGCCCGGCAAAGCACAGCCCTACATAGACAACGCGCCCAGACACACCAACTTGTTCTAGTACACACACACACACATTTTTTGATGGTCCTTGCATTGTTAACTCATTTCCATGGAGACCAATATAAATAGTAAGCAGCGACATCAGGAATTGTTATTCGTGACAGAAACACACACACAGAGACACACAAGAACAAATGTGACATGACCAAATCTGAAGGTATATAGTATACTGATACAATTGAGCATGCTGTCCTTCTCACACACGCATACAAGCGCAAAGACCACCTGTGCTAATCCACAGCAGGGGGCTTTGATGTCGGTCCGTTTCTGTCTATACCGAGCTCATGATTATTGCCTCCACTCCTCCACTCGCCTCTCTTTCATCCCCGTCTCTTAACGCCAGACAGGCGGATAGACACTTGAAGGTTGAGACGTTCATACAGAACAGGCATGTGTGAAGATCTCACACCAAAGACTTCAAAGTAGGATTAGCGAAATGATTGCTGGATCAATGGTAGATGTATTGACTGAAAATTCAGGCATGTCATTAAAGAGCATATTGCAGGTAGAAAAAAAATCTAAATGAATATATAACCTTGTATGAAA